CCCCAAAACCCCAAAACCCCAAAACCCCAAAACCCCATCCGAGAGAGTGTGCTTAATGCATCAGAATGTATTTGTTGAAATTGAAATTCAAAATTAACTTATATCAGCAACAAATATGAAAGTAAGTGGCAATTACTCAGATCTGTGGAAAGCCATCATTCGCCCACCCAGAGATCCTTACACACTTGAAAGCTTAGGTAATATTTGAACTTATTAAATGATTTAAAGGTCCCACCAGCTTTAAAGTAGGAAAGAGGAAGTATGTGAGAAAGGATATAGATTTGATGAATCCAGATGCTTGGACTCTTAGATGCTCGCACTTTCTTCCTCACAACTATGAAAGCATTAAGACTAAGCTACCTTGCGTAATATATATGCATGGAAACTGTTCATCAAGACTTGAAGCTCTTCCTTGTGTCAACATATTACTCCCTTTGAATATAACTGTGTTTGCTTTTGACTTTAGCGGCTGTGGGTAATCCTAGGGCGAATTTGTTACTCTCGGTTGGAAAGAAAAGGAAGACCTTCAAACTGTGATAAATTACCTAAGATCTACTGACATGGTTTCATTAATTGGTCTCTGGGGAAGAAGTATGGGCGCAGTAACCTCTATACTATAAGCAGCGAGAGATCCATCTATTGCTGGAATGGTTTTGGATTCTCCCTTCAGCAATTTGAATAAATTGTCATTAGAACTAGCTAAGACTCACACTAAAATACCAGCATTAATAGCCAAGATTGTTTAGAAACTGATTCGAAAAAGTATAATGAGCCGAACTAAGCTTGACATTGAGAAGCTAAACCCTATCGAATATGTTGATAAGTGCTTCATTCCTTCTCTGTTTGTTACTGCAAAGGGAGATGATTTTGTCAGACCTCATCATGGAGAATAATTGTTTGATAAATACAGTGGAGATAAAAATATGATAAGTGTTGAAGGTGATCACAATTCAGATCGCCCCTTCTTTATGATGGACTCAGTAGCTATATTCTTCCACAACGTGCTATAATGTGACCAACTTCCTAGAGAACTTGATGACGATGAGGAGAATCTAATGAATAATGATGATTTTATGGATTTTAGATTAGACAAAGTCTTTGAGAGGCAGCATTAGGAGCAAGAAAGAGAATAATTGCTATTGTCTGTGCAAGATAAACTCGATCTGAATTAGCAGGAGGATGAGGATTACAGAAGAGCTTTGTTAGAGAGTTTAGACTATCATTAAGAAGAGAAAATGAAAGAAAAGGTAGTTGACTAGTTTTTCTACCAGCTTGAACACTGCTGGCAAGAAAAGGAGAACTTACCTGAAATATTAGATGCTGAATTAAGACACCTAGACTAATATTTCAAAGATGAAGAAAAAGAGTCAATAAAAAGCCTCGCTTTGCAGAGAAGGAATAGCTTAAAGGCCTTCCCAATGAATAGGCAATCTTCTTAGAAAGAAGTCTTCGGCGAAGTCGATCTTAATTAACAACTGCAAAGTCTAGAAATATGATATATTAATTAAAGAATTATAATTTAATTTAGTCCTACTATTATTAATGAGAATGACTGATGGGGTTTTGGGGTTTTGGGGAGATCGG